TGTTACCAACATCTGGTGAAAATTTCATGTCATTAGCACCTCTAGTAATATATTTACTGAGAAAAATGGTGACGTGTTCAATACTTATTTTACCTGCTGTATAATCTAAGCTAGAGAAATGACAGTAGTAAAAACAAGCTGTGTGACAGGCAGAATAACGCCAGACGGACCTGCATGTTCCTGAGGAGCTGGAAGATCTCCATGGTCCTGAGGACAATGTCTTGGACCGTCTCCTGTCCAATGCGACACAAGGAGGACGTGTTGACATCTCGGGCAGCCTGGGCCTGCTGCTGCTGCTGATGAGGTGGCGGCTGACCACCAAAGGAAGGCACCAGGGGAGGGGTCGTCATGAAGACAGCAGGTCAAGGTAACGGAAGAGCAGATGTGAGTCTTATAGGGTCTCTTGTCAGGCTGATCCACATCAGCACACTTTTACATGCCTTCATTTAGGATGCACAGGAAATGAAAAAAATTATGATTAAACCAGCATTTAAAAAGGAGCTACATCACATTGTTTACATTAGCTTTAATGTTAATTCAYAGCTTCACAGCTGTCACAAACTTAGCAACAATCAACAAGCTCGTACTTTAGTTTTGTTATTAAAACCTAAAAACTGTCGCAGTTTCTGACACGCCTACACATGACTGTACGTATTTTAAACGATATCTGGGACTTTAATTAGCCKCTTCAGGTGATTCCAATCAAGCGATCTGTTCAAGTTAGCTCCGAACAAGTCGAGCTTTCGCTAAGTTCCTTTAACTCCACAGTTTTTACGCATGATTTTGTGCGCGTCCGCTGTCGTGACACGACGTAATATCAAGCTGGCGCAAATATAGTGTTTAACAGCGCAACAAACAATACAAAACGATACCTGTTTTGTTGTAATTTATCTCTTTTGTTGACATGTCGAGCACCCCTACTGAAACGAGCTCCTGAGCTCGTCTACTCCAAGTATCGCGAGACTTCCGGTGTCATCACGGACACCGGAAGTAGTATTCGACAAAGATAAGAGCTTTTTGTGAYTTAAGGTTTTGTTTATGTTGAAAACAGATTTTTTTATAATTATCCAGTTTTCTGAGTAATTAATAATTTTGTTTGTAACAAATGTTCAAAAAAATCTGCTCACCGCTCGGACTGTCATGTACGAGGCGACAGCGACCTCTGCTGGTTGACAAAAGGACTTACATGTATTTAAATTAAATTAAATCAAAGAGATTAAATAAACTTTATTGATCCCACAGTGGGGGAATTTGCACATTACTGCAGGTCAATATAGGAGAGGGTGAGAAGAATAAAGAAAGATAAATACAATTTAAAAAAATAAAAAACTGTACACATGTGATG